CACATGCAATTTTTTTGACAAATTAAAATGAATGACTTTTGGTTAAGAACCGACAAACGTTTTTGACGTCATTGATTTATTTCAGTCAATTTTTATTTGTTAAACAAGGAAGGTAAATGCTGGTGGCAAGTACAAACCTTGGCGAAACAAACTTTACCTATAAAAGAGTATCCAAGAGTGTATCACTGTATTTTGAGCATAAGCTAAATCTTTAATTACACAATAGATGTATCACTAGCGTAGAATTGAACGAGGATTTGAAAATGTCTCTTCATTTTATGAACACACTCTGTAGTAAATACTAAAGCAAAGTATTTTTTTGGCTTACATATAAAGTATATAATCATGGCTTTCGGTATTCTGTCTGGAACAGTTATAAAATGATACCCAAGTACTTTATCTTTTTATGTTGGACAACGTTTGGCAACACTGAACATTTTTTCTAGGTTCAAAGTGATAACAATTCCACGCAAACCCTTGAAATTCCTCGCAATTCCTTGAAATTCCTCGCAATTCCTAGAAAATCCTCGCAATTCCTCGAAATTCCTAGCAATTCCTCAAACCTCCTTGCAATTCCCTGAAATTCCTCGCAATTCTTTGCTCGTATACACTAAAATTCCTAGGTGATTTCCCCCTCGAGAATATCTCTTCCTACATAACTTAAAGTATGCAGGTCTTACAGCAAAATATGCTAAGTTATGCGTGTTTATGTTCTCTGAAACAAGTGAAGAAGAGCTTGAGGGAATAGTGAACGGTGATCTGGCAAAATATTTTGGCTGGTTGTGCTATAATAAACTTAGCATAGATGTCGAAAAAACAGTTATTGAGTAACAAAAAACAAATAAATCCAGAGATACAATTGAATAATAAAGTATTGAAAAGAGTACAAATATTTGGGATTAATAATGAATGAAAATCTTTCATAGACTGCACACATTGAAAATGTGATAAACAAAATAGCACGTCTTGGCCTGGGTGCAATTAAAAGGTGCAACCACATGCTAACTCATGACTAAACATTTATTATACAACAGTTTTATAGAACCCCACTTGAAATACTTGATAGAGTGTTATGAAAATGCGAGTGTTTACCTATTACAAAAATTACAGAGACTGCAAAGCTATAAAAACTATTTTTTCGGTAAACTACTATACAGCTAGTGAAAACATATATAAACAATACCCATTTTTAAAAATTGAAGCATTAAGAACTCTTGAGCAAGCTAAACTTGTGTATAAAATTATAAATGAACTAATTAAAACTAATGTGGAACTACAACTAAATAAAATACATAACTATAACATAAGAACTAAAAATAACTTGAGAGCTAAATATTCAAGAACAAAAAAACACAGGATTCTCCCATGTTAAGATGTATTCAAACCTACTACAAGTTGCCCGAAACCATATATTCGATGGGGATGTGAAAGCAGTGAGTCGTAACGTAACCTCAAAACATATTTGAAAAGCAGAGACTGAATAGTGAATATAGTTTTTTTATTGTTACTGTCTGAAATAAACATTCTTAAAAAAAAAAAAACAAACTAAGTTTTACCGCCAAGGTCAAATATCTGGGAGTGACACTCGATTGCAAACTAATATGGAACTCTCATATTGCTAAGAGAATACAGAAAGCATATATCACCTATAAACAGTGTGGAGCTACTATCGGTAAGACTTGGAGGTTCTCTCCCAAGGTAGTTATGTGGATCTATACAACCATCATCAGGCCTATGCTTAACTATGAGGCTATTGTCTGGGGACATAAGGCCGAACAGACTACTATATAAGCCGAAAACTAGACCACATGCCTCAACATAACTGGTGCAATGAAAACCACACCACTAGGGCTTTGGGAGTAATTCTGTTTGATACTCCTTATGTCAAGGAGGTCGTATCAACCACAATGATGCGCTGTTGGAATAGAACCAAGTGCAGAAGTCGATTTGCTGAGAGCCCGCATATGGCGTGAGGCAACGAACTCTTCGAAAGGCATTGGAAACAACACAGTGGTAGAGGTAAGTAACATCTACACTGATGGTTCCAAAACTCAAACAGGCTCGGGATGCGGAGTATACTCCAAAGCTCTCAAACTGAACCTAGCTATAGTATAGCCCTTGACTCCATGCGTAATGTCCTCCAACCGGAAATTATTGGCATAACCATCGCGGCTGAACAAATAATCAGCAACAATATCACTGACAACATCGTGCAGATCCACACGGACTGCAGACAAGCAGTACTAGCGCTATCTAGACCGCGACTCACCTCAGAACTAGTGCAACATTGCCACCTTACACTCACCGAAGCGTCGATCAACAACACGGTGGTAGTCAGCTGGATCAAAGGACATGATCACAGCAAGGGCAATCGGGCTGCCGATGCTCTAGCTAGAAGGGCCGCCAGGCTACAGCCTTTTGAATCGGAGCCCTTCGTAGGGCTGACCATGTCGGCGGCCAGAGATATGATAAAAAAGCGCTCCCATACCATTTTCAAAAAGCGCTGGGACGATACAATTGGCTGCAACTTATCCGAGGAACTGCTAAGCTACCCAGATAAAGCTGCAGCGAGCCAGAAGCTGTCGCTAACCAGGAAAAGGCAACGCCTAATAACGGGCATCTTGACTGGCCACTGTCAGTTAAACAAACATTTGTTTAGGTTGCATCTCAGTACCACATCCTTGTGTAGGGCTTGTAATCAAGAAAACGAGACGATAGAGCACATTCTCTGTGACTGCACTGCTCTTTCGCCAATACGCAGAGCCAGATTAGGCCAATCGTACTCATTGCTAGAGATCAGAGGCAACGCCCTCGGCGATGTCATCGCCTACGTGGAATTGCTAGACTGGATGACGAGCTAAGGATGACACCTCTCCTCTTGTGGAGGCTCACAATGGGCCTAATGTGGCCTAAGTGCTGTGGCATACCATACCACCCTCCCAAACTTATAGACACAGAGAGATGTTCCAGTAAAGAAATTCAGGACTTCTAACTTTCCTGTGTGGTTCAACACTGAGTTGTGTAGATTGATTGTTAAAAAGAAGAAGGGTTTAAAAAAATTTAGAGAAACACGAGATAATTTGGACTATGTGACATTTGTTGTTCTCTGAAGTTAGAGATAGGTGCAATGATGTGAGGGACTCCTCTTATAGAATATACCGGCTCAAAACTGAAAATAACATTAATGGAAATCCTGGATCATTTTGATCACATCACAACAATCTTAGAAATAACTTTTTTCTGCCCTGTAACATGAATTATAATGGCTCTACTGGCTGTAGTAATCAAGAGACTGTAGACTTGTTTGCAGACTTCTTTTCTAGTGTTTACTCGAGCCATACCACTAATCATCAGGCACTGAAATACTCATTTTCCAACGTCACTGATGTTTCTTGTGATGAGATTATAGAACAAGTAAAAAAATTCACTTTGCTTATTGAATGGTTCTTGAAATAAGTTGTATCTGTTTTTTGGAATTCACAACAATTGGATATAGTTATAAACTTGAATTCATCAGGATGTGGTTTATGTGCTTAAATTTAGGTACCTACCTATGTTGTGAAACTATATTGTAAATTGTTTTTTTATTGTTAAATAAATAAATAAATACATAAAAATAAAATAGATTTGAAATAGGATAGAGGACATCAAATATTTCCATCCGTGTAGGTTTCGAGTTTTGTCTTAAATATCTTCAAAACTATCCTCATCTATAATCCATGGCTGCTTTCTTGAACTCTTCAAAATTTGCCATTTCCAGAAACATCTGTATCACTGATAAATTCTATCCATATGATTCCCAGCTGATTCCTGTATGATTCCAATAGGATTTCCAATGCGATGTTCAATGATTCTCATAATTTCTATTGATTCTCAAGTTCTTCCAATAAAAATGAGTGATTTCAGCTTTATTATGTAATTTCATCTTGTATCCTCAATACTCATTTAGGGTCTTATTGATGGGGACATCCTTTTGCCTATACTTTTATATTTTAATTTTATGTATTTACATTCTTTGTTAATAATTGTAATTTGCTTTCACTGTTTTTCTTGGGGTTTCATTGGTGTTTTGGCAACTTTCAATCTATTTTAAAAAAAATAAAGAAACATATTATGACCAATTATTGGTGTTTTCTACTTGTATTTGTATTTTTTCGTGTTGACTTAATTTCCTTCCATGCATTTGCACAAATCTGGATGATTATCAAATGATTCACTTAGTTTCAAACTTCAAAAAATCATCATCTCTGACTCATATTATGTATGTACCTACTTGTAAAATGTTTTGGCACACCTTTATATTTTTGCCAGTTTGGATTTATTTTGGTTCAGGTTTTTGGCTTACTGATATCCACACAAAAAAAAACGCAGCTGTTGTACCTATCTGATTCATTCGAATTAATCTCGAAATAATTGTTAGTGCTTTCAAGTTTTGATTGAATTGGGGCTTATAAAATGTGTATAATTGGATAATCAATCACTTTTTTCAAGTAGCGTGCTTAGCAAGAGGATAAATCTTGAGACCTAATTGGAAAAAAAATCATTATTTAGAGAAAAATTACGTTTAGATGATTCGAACCCCGCCCGATACTTTATTTTTACGAAGATGTTCCACTTGTTGGGTAATTTTTCATTCAAATTTGATTGATTGAAAGGTACTTGATAGACAAGGCGGATTGATTTTAAAAACTAAAAAGTTACACTGAATAGGTTCACTGAGGACTGAGTATAATTAATTCATTCAGAAATCACCAAACATTTTGTTTTTGGCGAGGTTTTTGGTGTGATTTCTTGGTCCAAAATCTCTGGATTTTTCTAATCTATGGCTCTTTGTAAAAACAAGAAGCCAGAGATTTTAGGCTTTTGAAAAAAAATTGGGATGAAAAAATATTTGCGACATACACGACGGAGAAGTTTGTATCTTTTGAGTCTTCTTCATATCGAGGAATTTTGATTGATTATGTTTATGTGATATTTTTTTTAGATGGAATTTGACTTACCAAAAGATTATTTTCCAATATATGCAAATTTCACTATAACTATTCCTCAAGAAAGCACTGTAAAGTGTAAAAGGCACTTTTTTGCAAAAAAAAATGTCGCGCAATTTTTCGTCTCGCGTCGGTTTTTTTTTTGGGTTAGTCGAATCTCGTTCACATTTTGTGTGAGAGAATGCCACTAACCACAGAAATAGCTGGCGTCTATTTTCGGGACTATCGTGTATAATATGGGTGTCAGGAGGAGTCGTGACGTCGACGTCGTTTTGGCGTTCCTTACGAGACTGTTTTTTTTTTCTGTTTTCACGATTTTTCGTTGGTAATTATGGCGATTTTGCAATCGGCGCGACTCGGTATTTTCAGCTGTACTCAAAACGGAACTTTCCAGAATTTAGTTTTTTTTTTAATTTTAAGCCTACTTCTAACATTATTTGTATATCACTGTTTCTATTAGATATTTAAATGAATGTACTTTCAATTATTTGGATTATGCAAAATATGTCCAATACTCAAATTTCCAGTTAAACAAGGCAGTTCCGATCAATAACGTATCAGTATAAATTTCTGAAAACTATGAAAAATCATATCTCCAACTTATGGACTTTTGTATGGTCTTCTGCGATTCCAGCTTTGGTCTTCTTCGTTTTATTCTACCTGTTGGTTGCAGAGGCGGCATTTTTTTAGGCCACCTGGTATTTGGCATTCGTTCTACGTGTCTGTACCCCAGGTGAGTTGTTTCCTTTCAATCTCCTGAACTATCGTGCCTTCTACTCCCATTTTTTGTTTTAGATGTTCCTATTGCTTCTTAGGTGATTTCAATAGGACTTCCTACAATGCTCTCATAGAGTTTATTGAAGGTACCTACATTCTTCAGAGTTCAATAGTTTACTTTTGAGTCGCTTCTGATATAGAAATACAGTGCTTTCATCTCTATAAAACTCTCAAAATTGTATTTTGTTGTATCCACTGCATCCATGAGTATGGCATTGGTATTTTGTTCCTCTGGGTTCTTGTTCATTTTTCTAAATAGCATCTTTATTTTGGCTTTTACTAAAAAAACATCTAACCCGCAAGTGATTCCTCTTACGTGTGTATCATAGATATAAATCTGAAATGTAGGAGTCTTCTAATTCCTGGGTATTTCAAACAAAAATTGAATGATTAAGTAGTTTCTTTGGCTATGGCATTCATTGATTAACTGAAATATTAAAGTTAATTCTACTGTCTAATCAATACCATAACTAACCCAAATTAACTTTTATTCGAATATAACAAAATCTTTGATAGAAAAAATTAAGAAAAACACAAATATTAACAAATTTATATATTATTTAAAAGCTGCCATATATAATCATAGGGAACACAAAAACTATCTTAACTTAAATTATGCCTTTTGAGCTGATTATGCTCCTCGGGAAAGTCTAGAGCATCTTCCCTTGGATCTGGTTTAAGTTTTTCTCTTAAAATATTTGTGGAAACATCAGCAGTAGGATCTGCTACCCAATGAGGCCAGGTTTGGATCTCTGCATAGAAAGCATCACCAGGACACTCGGTAGCTAGAAAGAGTATCTTGAGTAGTTTAGAATGAACACTTGGTAATGCTTATTGTGTCCATTTTTGATCCACAAAACTTATTTAGAATTTGAGAAAGAGTATACAATTTATTAGAGAAAGTGTATTATTTCCAGTGTATTTATCAGACCTGCAGAATTGCAACCCAATTAAGAAGTTACTATGTAGTTGACTAGAGTTTTATTTGTATTTCCACTGAATGAGAAATTTATTAATTCAAAATGTTTGACAATGTTTCTTCACCGTTGTAGCCCGCAGATGTAAATCAATTCAATTTATGAAACCCTTTTATCATGCCTCAAATGTATTCCAAACCATGTTAAAACTTGGTTTTGATTTCCTGAACTCCTACGTGGAACATACTAAAAAACCAAAATACCAGAAAGTGTTCCAGTTCTTACCTCTAACTTGTCTATGTCCAATAAGTTTGTAATCTTCCTGTATGTAACCGTCTTGTACGCCTTTTTGGATAAGTTCTTTAACAACGACAAGTTGACTTTCCGGTGGCACTTGCTCTACAACAGAATTGTGTAACATTTAAAAACCATCAAATCCAAACAGAATTATTGCGTCGTACCGTTGACAAAAACGATAAAAATATCCGAATCTAATATATTGTGTTTTCCCAGACAACCTACACCCACTACATTCGAATGCGTGCACCTATGCTCGATTTATTTACGTCGCTATTTTTAATGTTTTGATTTTGAAGATAGAGCTTGATAAAAATATGTTATTCTTTTTAATTTTCTGGAATAACGTTGTTTAATTGATTCAAAAAGTTTGACACATTTGTTGTTTTTTTTTTAAATCCAAATTATAGTAAATCATTATTCAATGATAGTTCTTACCAGTCCAATCACCAATAACACAAATTCCAATACTTCGGTTATTGTATCCTGGAGCGTGGGCACCCACTGCTGACCATCCTCGTCCCATATAAATCCTATTGTCGCCTCCAGATGCGAAACTGTAGCCTATGTCGTTCCAAGATCTATTCAACTTAAAAAACAAATTTTAATATTGTTTTGCATTCAAATGAAGCTAAAAGTCACCTGATGGTAATCTTGCATCCATTGCATCGCCTCAATGCAGTCTTCTTTGGTGTAACAAGCGGCTGGTATGTAGCTATGGTGTATCACGACAAATGGAACTGGATTTGCCATTTTTTCCACTGCAGTTGGGGGACGCGCCCCCCAGCCTTCTCTAGAAACTATTTCCGGGGTTGAGGGAGGGATTGTGGCTGAATCCGCACCTGGCATACAATGGTTGATCAAAAATTATTAAAAATCATTTAATTAAAATCGCGCTAAGCAATTTGGTGTGAATTCTTCAGTTTTTCAATTTTTTGACGTTCTTTTTTCAAAGATTTCGACTTCAAATCGCAGTAAAATATAGTGTATGGAGTTTAGGGGCTCCCGAATGATCAGTTAAACTGTTGAGGTATGATTTAGATTTTTAAAAATTTTGAAAAAATCAGAATTATTCTCCTAGATAGAAATCTGAAATTTTTAGCGATTCTTATACTCGTGGAGGACTACTATCCCTGAAAATTTCAGCTCATTTGGAGTAATAGTTCCAGAAATAAAATCGCGTAAAACAATGTTGGGGAATTCTTGAACTGTACATACATAGGAAACTGTATGATTATTCAAAAACTGTACATAGGAGAACATAAAAAGGTTGAGGGGGCAGTCAGGAATAGGAAAATACCAGTGGCGTACACTCGATCGACCTACGAATGGAGAACCATACGAAAATATACCAAACTGTATGATTATTGTTGCGAAAATAACCCACAACAGGTTTAATTTTTATTATTTCTAATTTAATATAATTTTTTTCCTCCATTATTTACCATAAAACTAATATTCTAAAAATAGATGCTATTGCTGGACTATTTATCCTGTAAAACCGGCAACAACAACCCTTTGAACCAATAAAATTGCAGGCTTCTTCATTACCTTATAAGGTAGTGGACCTTTCTCGCCGCTGTGATTGGTCAACCGCCACATTGTTTCCTAGTTTTTGCGACCTGCTTCCTGGCAGAGCTAGTCGACACACATTCTTCAGTACTATTAAAATAAGCGAAGAGTTCGCGCCCTCTGATGCTCCCCAGAAGTAAAACCCCCGTTAGTACCCGTGGTTTATAGTAAAATACTACTCTCTGTGTCTCAAGGCCTGACATGCTCTATATTATTGATTACGATTCATGTAATTAACCCCTAATTATTGCAAGTCACCTCGGACGAGCAAAATTCTCTCGTAAGCGCCTGTTTTTGGCTCTCTTTCTCTTACTCTCGCCGGGCTCCAACGCGCCTGCATGTGCATATCGTTATGTTTTCATCTCAGTGGAAAATTCCCTGGCTGCCAGTGTGAATAGTGATAAATGGATAAATAATCGCCTTGCGGATTTATCTGCATGAACCGGATTAAGCAAGTGAGATCCTTACAATTTCTCTAACAGTCGGACAATAAATACAGATTAGTGATTCGCTTGAAATGCACTATAATTTGTAGTCTTCTAACGTTCAATGCAGAAATTTGGTTTCACACTCGTGAAATTAACATTTGCACATTTGTATATAGAAACTGAGCATATATAAAGACTTTTCTTGCACATATTTACAGACTTCCGCAGAAAAGTGCTCAAATTGTTAATTCCCAATAATTCAAAGAACTTTCAAGGATCAAAAAACATTTTGTGATTACAGTGAACTGATTAAAGTTGACGAATTATTTATGTTGTGCTCTCGTGCATTTAATTAGTTAATTTGTGTTTTCGTTCAACGTTTTATTTGTATAAATGAGAATCAAGGCACCCCTAACTCAATACAAGGCTTGAATGATCCAATACCTTGTGGTTAATTTTAACAGTCAAAGTAAAAACTTTTGGCATCCCTGGTGCGGTTTGACTAAAACCCAAAAAGGGGCAATAGCTAGTTCCTTCACAATTATTTAAAAACTGTACATAGGAAACTGTATAAATTTATAAGGTCAACAGGACTTTGTTTAATTATTATGATGTAGGTATTTATTATTTATATTGATCATAAAATCACTTATCAGATCCAATTTCAATTATTTTTATTTCACGTGCATTAAAATCAGACTACATTCTCTATCTTACCATAAACGCCACACATTGCGAATAATAATACACTCACTAAAAATATCATATTTTCGTTAATATCTGCACAATAATTAAGACACATTTGAATATTATTTTTGCCAACTTTGAATAATTTCAATTAATCACGATTATTGATAGATTATTTCTGTAGATTAGAACAGGTATTTTTAAAATCCTCGATTTCAAGTGTTTTAGAGAATTGGTTTCTCAATAAAATTTCCAAAACAATTTTCTTTTTGGAATTAAGGATTCACTAGGTCTTTGGTTGATTTTTCCAATGGCCTTTATGTTGTACTACATGTAGATAAAAAAGTAATACCCTAGCTTTTTAAAACTACAGATAGAAATATACAAAAAAAAAACAATAGATATCCGCAATATAATAATAGATAATAACAGTGTGATAATGTTGTAATTATTATTATTTTTTTTTTCTAATGATAATGACATGATTATATGTATACATTTTTTGATTCTCACCTAAAACATTGATACTTCCCCACACAATGAAGCTCAAGAAACACATTTTAATCACTTAAAAAAATTGACACATACACTCTCTTTGGTCCTAAAAAGAGTATCACTTGATAGCTACTATTAGAAAGATATATTATACATTCTAACTTGGTACCTAATACTGAATTTTTCCTAATGTAACAATAACAATTTGTTATTGTCAAAATTATCAGTACCTACTTGTTAAATAGGCGGCGCGTTTTTTTCGTTTTTAATATTTTGCAAACTGACATTGGAAGACTGGCCAGTGTGTTTGTGAGGACCATTGAAAAATTAAAAAGTGAGAGGGGGTTTAATTACTTTGATGGGGTTTTACAGGGCAATTTTGTGACTAACAGGGATTATGTAGGAGTTTGGTTACCTCTTTTGGAGATATATATTTGGTCTGATGATGATCCCAAAGGGCAAAACATGTAACCTTAAAAGTTAGTATATACTAAGTGAAAAAGAATATGTAATTCCAAAATCATTATTGATAATTTGTTTTGCACTTTTTATTCATTCTTGAGTTTCTTTGCTCTTTTTTAAATGATTCTTTAATTTCTTTTACGTTTGTTTCTTCTTAATTTTCTTCCATTATTAATGGCAAGTTGTCTCATTTCTGGATTGATTTTTATGTGTCTCGGTTTTGATTTTTGTTCTTTGAAAAATGAAATTTTAATCATAAATATTTTTGTGTTGTGAATTTATATTGAAGACAATCTCATTATATATATGCACAAAATTTCCTAATAAGCCTGAATATTATAATACGTTTATAAAACAGAAATAATGTTATTTACTGACGTAATTTCTTGTTGTAAATTTGCATGGCTCTTGACCCAAAATCGCTCCGTCTGCAGGAACTCTGTGCTCTCTGATAGGTAAAGTACCAGAAAAGTAATTCCCCTTAAAAATAAATCTGTCTTCATCCTGTTGCATTATTACACATTTTTCTAATGTTACATTAATTATACAATAATAACTTCCGATACATTAATCATTATACCAAATTATCTAACAATGATATGTAATCATATTTGACCAATTTGAGCAGATTCCAAAGTTTTGTAATTGTTGTAACACAAAAAAATTTCACCTAGTTAGTTTTGGACTCTCATCTTCACACTCTTTTTATATTGAATAAACGAATTATTATGGTCTATGGACAAAAAAAATAAATAAAATTATAGTATGGTTCAAGGCGAAATCTATCAAAGTCACAGTTGCCAAAAAATAGCTGATGTTATAAGTGTTAAATATAGACACAGTTATTTCCTGCGAAAATAAACAAATAATATTGCCCACATCCTAAAAATGTTTGTTCGTACTGGCGAAAGTTTTATTATTACATTTACGGTATTATTGTTTAAAAGCTAGTGAAAAATCAAAAAGTAATTCAATTACAGAAGTTGACTAAAAAAAAAGCCTATAGTATTTTTTTTTCATTATTTTGTTAAAGGATAAACCATATCTAGTAGTTTTTATAATTCATAGTTTTAAGAGAAACATTTTGTGAAAAGTTTTACAATTTTATTTTTATTGACGTAACTCAAAAAACAAATGATTCACTATCAAAAATAATATGGTATGGGCTTAACAACAATAAAATATAAAATAGTCCAAGATCTAATGTCAATGTACCTTCATATTTCAATACTCTCACTCATTAAGTGACATCATGGACCAAAGTAAATGAAAAACTTTCTTTGGTAATGGTTTTGTCAAAATATCAGCAATATTGCCCCGCGACATCATTTTCCATAATTCTTTCTCAGATGTAGTGATAATGAAAGTCGATGTGTTTACTTTGTTGATGAAATATATAATTTGTTCCAATATGAATTATTGCAGCTTGGTTTTCACACAACACAGTGGGTTATAATTATTGTTACATCAAAAATCAACTGCTTCATCCACATGCTTTGTCTACAAGCCAATGACAGCGCCTTATACTCAAATTCAGTAGTGGACACTCCGATACTTTGCTGTCTTTTTGATGTCCATGTGACTGCGTTACTATAAAACCCAATATATCCCCTACTACTCTAGTCCAGTTAAGTCCCGTCGTGGAACAAAATCACCTAAAGCTAATTTTTTGAGAATATGTAAAATTTGTTGTCTAGATAAACATACTGAAAGTCCTTAACCCTCCGAGGGTGCAAAGAGCCCCTAAACCACCCCAATAGATACAATTTTTACTTATGAGGCAAATATCTCGGGTACGACCGATTTTTGAGAAAAAATGCTGGATAATACAATTGAAGCCAATAGAATTTCCTACAAATTGGTATATACCGGGTGTCTACGAGATCAGTTTCGCGCTGTCATTTGCTGGTTTTTTTTTTTTTCGATGGCAAAGATTTTTAGTATGGAGTGTAGGTTTGAGAAATGTCATCTTTTGACATGTGTGTCACTGTTTGGTAACTTCCGGTTTGACCGGAAATGGTCCTAACTCCGTAATTTTGAATGACATCCCAATAATTTTTTCGGATTTTTGGTATCTGCGGATCATGATGTGTACGAAAACGTCAGATTTGAACATTGTTGAAGAAGTTTCAGAACTCTGGATGAAAATGTATTTTTGAACAGGAAGTGACGGAGCGTAAAATTGTTATTTTCAACCAACACAATTGTAGAAAAATGCGAAAGCCAAGTTATTATCCTATGCTTATTCTCCAAAGGCTTCCAAAGCTGAAAAAATCACATTTTACGTGATAACTCAATGAAATCAGTGATCACCCGATTTTCATAACAAATGTTTTTTACCTTTTTCAAAATAAAACCAACTATGCGTTAAAACTTTTTATTCATGCCAGTTTTTAATTATTTTTCCAATATTTTCACTATGCATTACTATAACTGATAAAACTACTTATAAATAAACCCCTGTATTCAAACTTTGTATTTACAAATTTCCGAGATGTCAAACAATGACAAATAAACATATCTTGCCCACAGATCTTGTCAATGGCTTGTCAAGAAAAAAAAAACAACAGCTCCTTTTGGAAAGCGTTCTTCATACAGGGGTTCATTTATAAGTAGTTTTATCATTTATAGTAGTGCATTATAAAAATAATAAGAAAATAATTAAAAACTAACATAAATGAATGCATAGTTGGTTTTATTTTGAAAAAGGTAAAAAACTCTTGTTGTGAAAGTTGGGTGATTTCACTGATTTCATTGAGTTATCACGCAAGATGTGATTTTTTCAACTTTGGATGCCTTTGGAGAGCAAGCAAAGGATAACATCTTGGCACTCGCATTTTTCTACGATTGTGTGGGTTGAAAATAACAATTTTAAGACCGCTCCGTCACTTTCTGTTCAAAAATAAATTTTCATCCAGAGTTCTGAAATTTCTTCAAAAATGTTCAAATTTGACGTTTTCGTACACATCATGATCCGCAGATACCAAAAATGCGAAAAAATTATTGGGATGTCATTCAAAATTACGGAGTTAGGACCATTTCCGGTCAAACCGGAAGTTACCAAACATTGAAGCACACGTCAAAATATGACATTTCTCAAGCCTACACTCTATACCAAAAATCTTTGCCATCGAAAAAAAAAAAACCAGCAAATGCCAGCGCGAAACTGATCTCGTAGACACCCGGTATATAACTTGTATAATTTCATCGAACCTGTGGCGTGCAGTAAATGTCTTGATTCGTTAATTATTTTTCATTCTCCAAAAATCACGTCTCCCTTAGTCTAAATAGTAAATAATTTGGAAAGTCTTTTAGGAAAATGAAACTTAATGTTCAATGGATATAAACAGTTTAAAGAAGTATCAAAACATATTAGGTCAGTGGCATGTCATATATATCTATCTTAAATAACTAGTATACTTAACATAATTATGAACATTTTCCCAAATAGTCCATTTAGAACAACAAATGATGTCTAATTATTTGAAAATAAATTAAAAACTTCAGCAGATTCTCTCAATGATGGGCATTGTTCACGTAAACTCGAGCAGTTCAGCCGGACTTTCTACAGCTACACAGCTTCCCACAATCAGCCTTACAATTTCAGAATATCAATTTGAGGATGAATTCCGGAGCTATTGGTTTATTAACCGTAGTTGTTTAAAAAATTTCTCTGATTCTTCCATCCCCATCTCAGGTTCTAACTCATTTCCCAGCCATTCCTGAATTTGATGGTATACTCGTAAACTATGCTGAGAGGCAGCATTTGAAGTTGGTGGTAGGGAAGGTGTAGTGTATTTCATTTTGTTAAGTTTGTCTTGTTCGACAAATGACAATAAACTGGATTTTGGTGTATTTTTTTTCTAGGAATTTGGAAATGTTTTTCGAAATTTAATTAGATTTCTCGTTGAAGCACTTTGACCAAAAAAGTAATTTTTTTAAATGGAATAACCTATGTTTAAATCAATTATTTGAACGCCCCTATTTTTCTCATTTCAAATATATAGTTGGTTTATATTTATGTTAGGAATTTGCGATATATTCTTACTTTAAAATTCACATAAAAATAGCCGAAAAGGTATTATAACCAGTAGTTTTATTAAAGGTAAAATTATTTAGATTTACCTTGATACCTTTTTGGCTATTTTTATTTGAATCTTGAGTGAGAAAATATCGCAAATTACTAAGATAAAGATAAACAAACTATATATATTTGAAATGAGAAAAATAGGGTCGTTCAAAAAATATATTTAAATATAGGTTATTCCATTTAAAAAAATAACTTTTTTGATCACAACGCTTCAACGAATATTTCGAAAAACATTTCCAAATTCCTAGAAAAAAAATACACCAAATGGCTATCTTGATTTTTTCAAAAATAATTTTTTTAGCAAAAAGGTAGGGGGTGTTCACTTTATACTGGATCACCCTGTACCTACTTGTTTTCCGCAATTGGTTCGAGTGCTAAAGGGACCGGCAATTCGAATGAACGTTTCCCAATATTCTTTTACAAGTGTTGCCTTCTTTTCTGGAAATAGTTCTCGTCATCTTGAATATTATGTATGCTTCACAGTCTATGATAGCTGTTTCTTTAGGCAGAATATGTGTCTTAGCAACTGACTTTTCAATTTTGTTGAAGAGGCTTTCTGGTGCATGTCTCAATCTTCTATGCCATTCAACAACGTTCAAGTTCAGATTTTCCTTTTCTTCTGTATCCATCCCATAGTCCTTATCTTCTTGGAAAATTTGTATTTTTTCAGATGGTAGTACCCATCCTACCACTTTATAATTTTTTTGTGAATATTATTTCAGTTTGATCCCTTTGCATTTTTATTTCTTTTTCTCTCATTTTTTGCCATGACATTAGGGAAAATTTTAAATCTGGCATATAACATAGAGAAAATCATACAAGGTAAATTTAATATACTTTCTTGATGGCAGTGAAGCATTGAAACTTACTTCTTTAATATGTGAGTTACATTCATGACATCATCGTTTCCCAATCGAATTTGACTTGAATATTGTCTCAAAGTTTTGGAAACAGCTTTGTCCCCTGACATGTGGGAAGTTACACCAGTGTCAAATATCCATTGATTTAGGTTTTTTCCTGTAGCACAGTCTTCTTCATTTTTCTGAGAAACATTTGCATTTTCACGATTATCTTTTTTAAATTATCTATAATGTTGTCTATTCTCTTGTGAGAGAATGTCTGTAATGCCAATTTTCACACTTTTCCTTGTATTTTTTAATTTTGTACCATCTTCAGTAGATCCTTCTTTTCAGGATTAGCTTCCTCACCTGAGGCAATCTTAAATAAATTATTCTGGTCAATTTATGCATGTACTATCGTCTTCCAAGAACAAAACTTGGATTTTCCATGAAGCTTCTAAACTTAGGAAATTTGTCCATGGTTCTGAATTTGTTGAACATGAACATCATCTACATATTGCATGAGGTTCCATAACGGTTTCGTTCAAATTTCTTTGTCGCCGAAATATTTTTGTGAATGTGTGTTACATTTCATCATGAGTTTACACGGAATCCGTTTCGAAGAGACTATATTTTGCACATTTATTATTATTTTGTACGAGTAACATACTTGAATTTGCACCCATTTGTGATAATTTATTGTATTGACTTTATTTATTTTAATAATCAATGTGCAAAATATATTTTCAGATGATGCTGATGGGCGACGAGCCGCCCAAACAAAGGGGCCGCCACCGTACCAAAGTGGAGGGTGACATGATACGCAAGCGTGAACGCGACTTTAGACATCAGCAAATGTGGACTGGGGCGCAGGACTACTACAAACGTTGGAACGATGTCAATACGAAATTTGACGAATGGACTTCGCCTAGATATTACGAGGATAACAATAAAATGATTTCGGGTAAAAATCTTCCTCCGATAAAAATAAATTATAATTACGAACCAGCAATTTTTAGATCTAAGACAAAAAAAAGACAAGGAAGAACTTCTAGAAAAGCGCAGAGAAAAACTAAGAAAGCAGCTAGAGCAAGAGGAAAACACTTATCAAATCGAATTAATGGTCTCGCAAAACCTAAAAATCCAACAAAAACCATTCACAGAAGAAATCCCAACAAAACTTCTAAAAGACGTAAATTCAGAAATCAAATTGAAAGAAAACGAAGCAAAAAAACGTGAAGCTGAATTAAAGCTTTACCATCAATGGAGAAACAATAATCCTGTAGTGAGACAAATAGAGAGCAGATATCGATGGAAAGATTTAAAATTAACTTGGCTGGATCAGCAAATTGAAAAACGAATGGAAAAGGAGCGAGAGGAAAAAGAAAACAAACGAATAATTAAAGAACAAGAAGAACGCTTGAAATTTGAAAAAGAACAAGAGCAAAAATTTGAAAAAAAGATTCGGGAAAAACAAGTCGAATTAAAAGAGCAATTAGATAAGCAAATAGAGGACTTAAAATCGAAACAAATTATCAGCAATGAGTTGAAATGCAAAGAACTTGAAGAACTTAAATACAAAGATCAGTTTGATGAATTGATAAAAAAATCTGAACTAGAAGAAAAAAGACGTTTAGCCAAAGAAAACGCCTTATACAACCTCAGGCAACATAAACTAAAATTAAAACAAAAAGCCTTAGACGTACAAGAAGCCTTAGAAAAAGACAAAGAATTAATATTGCAAATGAAAAAACTAGAACTACAAGAAATAATGGAAGACGAAAGGAAAAAAACTGAAATTAAAACCGCTCTAAGCAAATTTCTAATAATTGTCAAAGAGCAACAGGAGCTTGAAAAGCAACGCCAAAAACATCTAGAGTTTCTATTCGACTCCGAAGTTAAAGCGATTTACGAAAAACAATTAGCAATGTGGAAAAAAGAGGAATGTGCCAGGAAAGCACTGTTCAAAGACGTTTTGGATACAGTAAATAAACAAATCCAAGAAAATATAGAAAAAAACAAACAGGCCCAAAGAGAACTTATATGTGAAAGAGAGCAAATGCTTAATAAAGTTGAACAATACAATCAAGAATTGAAGAATTTAAGAGTGGAAGAAAATGAGAAAAAAAAGCAAAGGAAGCAAACTATAGATGAGGATGTTAGAGTGCAAAACGCTAGAAAAAGGCAAGAAGAGAACAAAAAACTAAAGGAAATTGATGACGAATTGAATAGAGTTAAAAAGGAAGAGGAAAGATTGCACAGAGAGATAATGGAAATACAAAAGAAACAGGGGCCTTTGAGGCCTAGAGTTAGAAGGAAGTTTTTGTATTAAGAATATTTTCTAATTTGTTTTATATTATATTCTATAGTAATATAGTAATTTTTACTTTTTGATTTTCTGGTTTAATTTTTTACATCATGCATGTCTGTATATAGATAGATATGCCTTTGAATGAGTACCCACAAAAGCAACTTTTGTATTAAGCAAATGATGCACATATTTCCAATAACTTTTTTTGAGCTGAGCTTTCTATTTATTGCAGTTTAATAAAAAATTATAGTTTTGTTGAGGCGGATGTGTATTTCAACAATTTTTCTTAATTTTCAAACTACATTCAATAATAAACAAGCGACCTTGGTAGTCGAATACCAGCTTGAGGATTTTAGCACATATAGTTGTTGATCATAGATATCTTGGCCCTGCCATGTATTATTATTATTAATTCAGTAAGATGTTAGTTGCTAATATCAATTTTGTTATTAAATTTCAAAAAGTTGATTTAATCAATACTATTTCTTCAAAAACTGTGAGTATGGAAACTTTGATTATCCAATCTCACAACAAGTAGATTTTTGTTATGATCCTTGGATATGGAAATAAATTTTTGTAAAGGCATCCTCTATTGTTTTACATAAATGTTTATTGTGTATCGACAAATATTATTTTAGATTCAATTAAACCACCTCTACAGGTAGGTTCTTATTTATTTTTACTTTTCAGTGGTATTTTCAGGTACCTACAGTCAGTCATATAGTCTAATTTTATCAATATTTATACCTAATTTTTTTGATTCGAACTTTGAATGTGTGTGAATGTTGTAGTAGTAGAAAATAACCATTTACAAACTAACTTAAATTTATCCGGATTTTATTGTGCTTTATTTTGATTTTGAACACTCTGAATTTTCCAGTAATTCATGTGAATAATCTTCCAGTTAGTCAAACAGTGATACTTTTTGAACAAAAATATCTTTTTTTAGGTAAGTTATAATAGCAGTTCATTCTGGCCGAATTTCGATAAAACATCATGTCGTTTGTCACATGTTTTTAACTGTAATTTCACAGAAACTGAACTATGATTTACCTATCTATAAACATATAAGAGATTGTATGTGAATTTGCAATTATTATTTATTTATTAATTCTTTCAACGGTTACATCATTTTATATATAAAAGTATCTCAAAATTAAGATATAATTTCATCATATAACAATATACAAGGTAGGTATGTACCAAAAAAAATAACATCACTACAGCAAACTACATATCAAGATGGCTCATCATGCAAACAATACTAACAAACATAAGGATAAAATCTCAGTACAATACAACTATAAATTATTTAACAAATTCTGCCTCAACTTAGCTTTGAAACTATTGAGGGAAACACCCAACAGTTCGATAGACACACAATGTAAAATTGTCAATGCTTTCGATTTTTTTATGTAGAAAAGGCTTGTGCTGCCAACATAGTTACTAAATTTTTGACTTGGGGAATTATCTTTAAAGAAAAAACAGACTTTAAGGGGAATCAATACCATTCATCACCCTAAAAACAAAACACAGATCCTGGAACATCCTACGATTTTCCAGGGTAACCAGCCTGTGGGATCCACGGAGAACTACCCGTTCAACGAATAAAATCACCACCAAAAATAAACTCGATAACGCATTGATTGGATAATATAAAATACACTTATGGGGGGGGGGTTTCCATAGATGCAGGCGCGAAATTTTTAGGTGCCACCCCCATTTTTCAGGTTTCTTTACGCTATTTTTGGGACTGTTTATCTTAATTTTGAAGAAATATTCATAAAATTTAAGGGTCTTGGGAGGGGCAAATGCCAGACCACGGGCAATGGACAAGGACAAGGAGATGCCCAGCGTGCAAAAACGATCACCTCACACCTGTACTAGTTAGCCTATAAAAAAGCATTGCCTCGGGTTGCGCGCGCAATCCAGGTAAAAATAGATAGGTCTATTTTTCAATTTTCAACTTTCCTAATTTCCAAAAAAAATTCGGAATTTTCTAATTCTCCCTAAGTTCTTGTAACTTTCGTAATTTCAAAAACTCGTGATTTCCGTTGTTTTGGGAATTACCTTAATTCACGTAATTTTGAAATTGTTTCCCATAATATTTCGTAATACCCGTAATTTTTGTAATTTTCGTAGTTTTCGTAGTTTTCCGTATTTTCCTTAATTCCTGTAATTTTTATAATTTCTCATAATGGCCGTAAATTTTCGTCATTCATTTCCGTCATTTTATACTAAGTTCCGTAAATTTTTATAATTCCCATTATTTTTCGTATTTCCCGTAATTTGTCTTATTAGTTTTCGTAATTTTTCAAAAACTAGTAATATTTAAATAATTGACGTAATTTTGGAGTAACTTTGTAATTCTTTTGTGTGATATTTGGCAATTCCCATAATTTTTGTAATTCCTGCAAAAATGTTTGCAATTCTCATAATTTTTCATATTTTACGTACTTTAACGTAATTCCCGTAATTTCTCGTAACTTTTCCAAAATTATCGTTATTCTCGTAATTTTGAAATGAAGAAAAATGAGGATAAAATCGCGGAAAGTGATGATAAAATCGCATTCACTGAATATTAATTCTCTACCACGCACGCTAAAAACCAGACATTGACAATCTAAACTCTGTCCAACGAACCTACGGAGAATGACAGAGTCGTTGGCGGCCAGCTTCACACTGAACACTGATTTATGCCATTTATTTATTTCAAAATCTTACAAAACGTTACTCTACAGTGTACAGCGGGCTGATGAATGATCAATAGCAACGCACCTTTTTGAAGGTTTTTTTGTTTGTCACTCCGTAGGTTGGTTGGATAGAGTATAGATTTTTTTGACATTATAGGTATAGGTAGGTTTTTGACATTCTTCCACCTGAGAAACTAAACTTACTACATATACAACATTCGTTTCTCATCACAATCACAATAATAAAAAAAAAGTTAACAGTCCTCGAATTAGTCCATATACCGTACTGGTAACTTTGTCACTCGGCTACCTTGCGTAGTTTTTATGGCGAGTACTCTGCTTTGGATACTCGCGTTTACCGCGGTAGACACTTTCGAAACGGGTGCTCTGCTTTTTACACTTCCGATCGCGATTATCGGCTTGGTACTTCTAGTTGTTTTCACTTCTGCCTTTGATGTCTCGGTCCCCATTTCTACAGATGTCCCAGTCTCCTCTAAGGTATACACTCTCTGCACAGGGCGTAGCAACATTCCATTTGCAGAAGACACACGCACCAAACGTATTGAACCATCTTTGCCCGGCAGAACCTCGGTGATGCGTCCAAGTGGCCAGTCAATTCTTTTACTATTATCATTACCAACTAGCACAATTTCACCGACTTTAACTTGTCTAGACGCCTTTAGTGGTGTTTTGAAGTTGTCCAAGGTAAACATTACGAAATCTAAATTTCAAATCGTCTCGAATCTTTTGTATTCGCCTTACCTTTCGACACAATGATGATCAGTCCACCACTTCACATTCAGGCAGAGTACCTTCAAACAGGTCGCGCGTAAACATAACTGGTGTAAGTGGTACCAATTCCCTGGCGTCTTCCGAAATATACTTCAGAGGTCGGAAGTTCATTATTTGCTCACAGTCACATATCACGGTTAGTAAGTCCTCATAAGAGCGCCGCCCGACCAAGAACTTTCCGCAATAATCTTTTCAAAATGCTGACAATGCGTTCCCAGAACCCACCCCACCAAGCTGCTGTTGGAGGGTTAAAACGCCATGTCATCCTCTCCACGGCTGCATATTTTTCAACTTCGCTCCATTCAGTGGCGGACCTAGGACCTTCGGGGCCCGACGCAAAAATTTTTTTTGGGGCCCTGTCATGCTTTTTTTAGGTATTTTTCTTGTGGTATTGGGGTGTGAGGTGAGTGTGCGGAAGTTATTTATATTTTTGAAGTTTTTAACAACTAAATATAGAAATAAATTTGATCAAAAAACAAGTTTATCAAGAACATATGAGACAGAAAACAAGTTGAACGAAAAAAAAACTTGTAAAAATTCAGGAACCGGGAACCGTTTATCTAAACAAAAAGAAATACAACATAATAGTACCGTACTGCACTGCTACTGTCCGTACTCCACCGACTAGTGCCATAAATTATCTGAGCCTGGAAGACAATAGATAATTTTTTGCGAGAATAAGCAAGTATAATCATAATCTTTTGCTGGATTATATCGTCGTCTTGCATACGAAAAGGCGTATCTCGAAAAATCGAGTTTTTTTGATACGCCCTTTTAATTGTCTTTAGCCAATATTTTGTTGCTGTTTGTTTTTTTTCTGACTGAAAAAAACCCAATAACAGCAATAAAAACTTTATTGTATTTGTGTGGCGGAAATTTGGATTGTATCAATAATTTCAAACCGCTCTCCTGTAAAATTAGGCTTTTTTAGATACGCCCTTTCGTATGCAAGACGACGATATGATGTGTCATTTGTGTCATACTCCCCTAACATCAAATTCTGGGATACTCGAGGATCAAGAACACTTAATTGCTTCTGTGAGAACAAACCGAAAATCACCTTTCTATATTTAAAATCGACGAAAAAATTAACTCACTAGCACAGCCTGAATCGCAAGCATTCCATCGAGGTCTGCAGGTGACGTCATCACTACAAGCTGCTGATAGTGACGTTACTCGCAGGCCCAGAATTTGATGTAGAGGGAGTTAGGGGAGTATGATACAATTGACACATCACATAACCAAGCGTAAAGTCGACGCGTCCGCGGTTGCCGCATCGTGTCGAGTGCATCAGGGCTGGGATTACGACATTCTTCTACTTTCATGACGTCAGGTTGCCTAGCAACTGTCATCATCGCCTGTACTGTGCGCGATAAATGTGTCGCGAATGACGTCATGAAAGTGGAATTCTACTTGTCATGATTCCAGCCCTGGATTCCCTACAGGGCCTTCATTGTCGAAACAGGAGATAAGCGTTCTGTCTTAGTTGCGCATATTTCTATTTCCATAACACTGACAAAGACAGAGCAATCGTTCTTTCTCGTGAGAACGCTATTCCTCGGTTTCAAGAATAGGCATCCTGGTATACAACGTTGCCGTCTCTTTCAAAATTTAGTTTTCCTTTTTTTATATCTACGAGTTTTTTTTTATTCGTTTTTATCGGTCCCTTTAGAATCTGGTTGTGTGGGGGCCCCTCAGCTCTGGGGGCCCGACGCAGAGTGCGTCGTTTGCTTCATGCTAGATCCGCCACTGGCTCCATTTCAGTTTCTTGAATAAATTATCTGTGCCGACAAAGTTAATTCCATTGTCACTGTATACTAATTTCGGTCTTCCTCTTCGAGCAACAAATCTTCTTAGGGTTTTCACACTCAGTTGACAATAAGGAACTGGATAGTTCCAGGTGCACCTATAAACGGCACATGGGAACATACAGATCCAGACTTTTTCACCTGTCTTTAAGTATAAAGGACCAGCAAAGTTCACACCAGTGACTTCAAAAGCTGACGCATCCCTAACTCGATCTGCAGGTAGAGGTGGACTCTGGGCTTGGGCTACTTTTGAATGCCTGCCTCCGACACACTACACATTTTGAAATTACACTTTTGATGTACCTTCGTTCACCCAATACCCGGTACTTTTCTCTCAGCAAACTCAATAAACCCTGGACTCCAACATGACAAGACTTCCCATGAATATCAAAAACGAGCCGCTCAATCATAACATGACAAGATGACAGTATCACAGAACATATCACCTCTAGAAAAGTATCTGCAATGGTATGTACCGGTTATGAATTACGGCGCCCTCGTTGACTGAAAACCCAACTAATCGAGTATTCTTGGCGAATTGATTTTTTTCATATATTTTTATTATTTTTGTATATTTTTTAATGTTCAACTGCATTTGGCTTGCTGACTCCTCTTAGCTCTTTTCGCCTTATTTTTTTAAAAACTGTGACTGGCAGGAAGTTTCCGATGTCGAACATAGTGCAAAAAGAGTTAGTAAGTTAGCAAGAGACACGCAGTTATAGGTAGATCGCAAAGTAAATACGAATAATAAATACAAATACGTACGAAACGAAACAAACGAATAAATACAAAAAAATACGAAAAAATTAGGTTTTTTTTTCAACCAAAACTTTTTGAATTTTCACTTTAACGCGCGTAGAAACCGTGGGGTACAACAACACAATTTAAAAATTCAAATTTTGACTTTTAAAATGACAAAATAAATGACAAAACCAACCAACACAAATCACTGTCCACACCACAGATACCTGTAAATTTCTCTTATCTCCCGACAGTGTCGCCATCGTTGAATGAAAACCTAACTAAAAACCTTTGTCGCGATTCTTCCATTTGAGATATTTTTCTATAGGTGATATGTTCTGTGGACAGTATTATTGGCATGCGAAAAAGTTCGGTATCTTCACGGTTTGCTATACGAGACTTCAAACGTACAATGCCAGAATTATTCCAAAATTCGTGCAAAGTTTTTAGGCGTTGGTTATTTTCAGAAAAACTTTCTCTTTGTACAGTTCGCAAAACGAAAATTTCCGCTCAGTTCATTTCTTCAGCGGATAGTTCATTAACGCGTTTATCCTCTAGATGTCTCACATTATGTACGAATCTGAATATCCAACCAATCATACGAATAGTTTCAATAAAACTTGAAAAATATATCAAATACCATTCCACTGCTCCCTTAACTACTTCGGAGCTAGCTAAACAAGTCACAACACTTTTTTTCTTTTCAGAAAAAATCTCTGCTTCATAATAGGTGACAATTTCGTGAGGTCTCAAATTGGGGTTTTCATAAAGCCAATTGGGACCCTCCCACCATTTAGACTCGTATACGGCTGTCGTGGTGAACAGCCTCATGATGGAAGGTTGGCTGGGTTTTGGGATCCAGGAACATGACGCCAGCTGTCCGTTGTGGAAATCTTTCTGATCTCAGTCACTGTATTACATACAAAGTTACACCACTCTTCATTTCTCTTGATCCATGAAAATACTGTTGTTGAATCTGTCCAGAAAAAACACACCAATGATTTGAATTCAAGAGCCGTTTTCACAGAATAATTGCACAATCTAGTGCCAATAACTGCCGCCAGTAACTGCATTCGAGGTATAGTCACAATTTTTATTCGCGCAACTCGACTTTTTGCGGCTAAAAGAGTAATATGAATGAACTGTATCTTGATAGGCACACCTCAAAAAACCGCCATACCGTAGGCCCCCTTACTTGCGTCGCAAAACGTGTGTAAGATCATCCCAGTTCCTTCACCAAGCGCATGTATCCAACGAGGAACTTGCATGTCAACCAAAATAGGCAAAGCTTTCATTCAATCTCGGAATGACTTCTTGATGGCTTCACCAACTTCAGTGTCCCACGCCAACTTTTCCTTTCAAGTTTTCTGGAGTAACAGCTTCGGAATCAATGTAGTTGGATAGGCAAATCCAATGGAATCCAAACACCCTCTGATCCTATTGGTAACTGGCTTAGTCATAAGTAACTCCAAATCTCCAACACATTCTTCACTGACACTCAATGTGTCATCACGATTATACCAAGCAAGCAAGTCCCAGAAGAGGAATGGGTTTATCAGAACTATCTGCATTAATTTGTGGACAAGAAAACTCCCACCCTCCCAAATTAAATTGTGCTTGTGCCAAAATCATGCTGGATTGACGTATAAAACTTTATGAAGTTTGTGGATCCGGTAGACTGGTTACACAGTTATCCACATAGTTCAGTGACACTTTTCCTTTTATTTTGGCACTAGCGTCATATGCTGGTCTGATCTTGGTTGTACTATTAGAATTGGTTATTACAACTGGCCTATGTGGCAGATAATGGCCTGTATCATTATCGCTGTCTGACACCAATTCAATAATGCATTATCGAACCCATTCCCTAAAAACAGCATCATATGATTTATACAAATTTTGTGACTCCAATCGCTTCAAAGTTGCTTCAAGTCTTTTCTTAGCGATAAAGTAATCCGCGGCAAGCGGAGGGTGTCGTTCTAGCCATGGAAGTCTTACTCCCCGCATCATTCACTCGAACAGTCTCGTCAAAAAATGCTAAAGTTGCCTTTTCCAAATCAAGCTTACTTTTATTGGCTGACCTTATACTATAGTCCATCTCCATCACATGCAACCTAAAATGCTGGTGGATATACTATCTTTGTTTGATTCTCTAGTGGCCATTTGCACCGACAATTTTAAGGGAGGCTTAACGATAAGTATAACTTAAAATGACATTTCTACATGTAAAAATATCATAAACATCTCCAAAGAGACAATGCATAATCTTTTCTGTCGACTTGATCATCAGTTGAAATGTCTGTGCTGTGAACTTCAAAATATATGAGCGTTGGGATCCGGTGTCAATTAGAGCTCTCACTTCCATTTCCACCCTTAATTTTTACCTTTGAAGTCTGTAAAAAACACATAACTTCTGGAAGCATTAGTGCACGAGAGTTGCGTTCCAGGAGTGTTACTTCCTTTTGAAGGGTTATTTTCTTCCTCTTTGGAAAATCTACTTGATGCCGATTCAGGGCACATCAAAACTTTAAGTCTGGCTCGACATTTATGGGCTTGATGACCAACTTTTAAACACCTGAAGCATGCCTTTTTTGCTGTCAAAATTTCTTTTCTTTTTTCCAAGGGGAAACTCTGATGGGCCCCGAAACAACTTGGACTGTCATGGTGATTTTTCTCGCAGAAGACACAGTTCGTATTACCATCACCCTATTCACCCTATCGAAACTCAAAATTTTGCGGATGGTTAACAAGGTCCGCTGCAGTTGGCATCACATTCTGTAAACTATACCCTAACATAGACAAGAAATTAAATGAAAATTGAAAACAAAATTCTCTCTTTTTCCATTCCAAGCTCTTGAATTGTTTCTCATAGGAATAAAACATAAAACCAAGAGCCTGGAATCATGGAGAGAGAAAACTTACGATAAAAGTCATATAACATTGAAGATCTACTCACAAATGAAAATAAAGCACTTTAGTTTGAATAATTTATTAAAACCAAAACATGGAATAATATTTATATAATTTTTGTCCAACACACACTTATATGTTAATATAATAAAAATATTCGATTTGTTTCATCAAAATTCAAATACTGTTCAATATCACAACTGAAGAAATTATTTTATGAAACAAAAACCTGAAACATAATATGTAGCTAGATAGAATATAACAATCTTTGATACATAAAAATAGTTAACAAAGATTCTCTTAAATGCATAAAGTTAGGAGATTTATCACAAAATTTCACTACTAGAGCGTTCGCATGGAACGTCAGAGAAATAAAACCTACTAAACATGTGATTGGCTTATTCGGTCCAAATGTTTCTTCATTTCCTCCAACTTTTCCATATCGCTTATCGAGGAATTGCACTTATCCACCACTAAGCTATGATAAAAATGAGCAGCGAATAATACAAAGGTAATCAAAACTGGCACAACTATTATGGTAGCGGCCACCGCAGCTGTGAAGCTGTAATCCCAAAACTTCACCCAGCATAAAATAGCCACTTCAAGCATGAATAAAAATAGGCCCAATATCGTTGAGAAGGCCCAAGCTAACTCGATGAAGCCTCGCATTCTTTCATGAGGGCTTTCAGTGATTAGTTCGCATATTTCCAATTTGGCTATCGATTCTATATTTGGCAGAATATAGGTGGATATCATTAGAGCGAAGATGTGTACTGCTACAAGGACTGTAGTGCAAACTGCGAACATTACGAACAACCATTCTGGAACGTTTGTTGGGGAGTTGATTTGAAGCTCGACCTGAAAAATAACAAACATTGACAGTACAGAAAAAATCACAGAATGATAATCACTATAGATATATAAGAGGTTTGTTTGTTTGTGTCGCGCTAACTTGAACTAAGCCGAATATTTCAGATTATGGCAGATACACCCATATAAAACGCTCACAAGCGAACGCCCTAAAGCAGGAAGTGCTGCCCCGAACAACACAAACAAACAAATCTCAGGTTAAGTTAGAGTGGCCTAAGGTTAAGTAGAGTAGCCCAAGGTTAGGTAGAGTAGCCTAAGAGCTAGACTTCGCCTATTTGTAAATATCTATTACAATAAAGACGTTTCAATTCAATCCATTTCAAAAAAATAAAATAAAAAATTATCTTTGATTATTATTACAGCTAAAAAAATCAAGAGTGCATTTTTTCGACTCTTTTACAAAAGGGACTGGATCTACTGCCTCCGCACTTAATACGCCTGCCTAACATATGGGCAAATACCAGTAATACCACATTCTTGGCGTAAGGTCCAAGTAGTCCAGGAAATCAGTCTCAGGAAAGGGTGTATTGAAGAAAAAATCCCGGGCTTAGGTTTTATGACTGATCTTAACCCGAAATGTGACAATTTATTTGAATTTTATGGTCTTTTTCTGGTTTATCGTTTTTAACTTTTATTTATTATTGTTTTGGTAGTACTCTATGTTTTTAGGTATACCACACATTAAAATGCGCGTATACTACACCTCTGAATATCTATGGTGCTGACCTGATGCGCCTCACCACACACTTCTTCAAACTGCCTATCGTAGCGCATAGCCAAGGTTGTTTGAGAGGGGTAGGTTGCCTGATAACTTTTATGACGTCATTTTCATAATTTCCATAAGGCCCAGATGACGTCATCAAGTTTCCCATTACCAGACAACCTATTAACTTTAGGAACCGATGCGCATAGCGGGGTTATGTAACATGACCATACTTATGTTATACCTGCAGTATTCATTGCGTCGGCGCGAGGTCCTGTTACAATCCTGCTCGAAGTTTTTTTTAGTGCGTGTTCCGTGTATACATGTTAGTATCGTGGTCTTATAAATAAGTGAAAAATGTCCGATCGCGAGTGTTTTTTGTGTGATAAGACTTTGAAGGACGGTTCTGCAACGAGTGTTGTGACTCATTTGTTTTGGCCAGTAGAAGAAGAAAGGATGGTAAGGCTGAAATTTTCGAGAGGATTTCCCTAGAAGTTCATGAAAAATGTCGCAACCATTATGCGACTGATCGAAGCATAGAAGTCCATTGAAGAGGATCCAACTACAAGGAGGTCGCGTCGCAACTGGAGAGATCCAGTTAATGTTGTGACGTCTTTGGAAATGAAGGATAACATTTTGGATTGATTGAGCGGCTGAGCACTGAGATTGCTAACAACATACGCAGACGAATTCTGCCTGTGTGTGACTAACCTACAGCTAACGCCAAGTATCATAGATCGTGCTTAAAGAAGGTATACTACTTGAATACCTTTAATCCATCACAACTGCCTGGCAGACCTCGTAGCGATGTTGATGATGTAACGACATCAATTTACACATTTCTTGAAAACAATGATGAAGAGTGTCAATTTTCCATGGACGAGCTCATCAGCAAAGTTGAAAGCAATACCATACCACATTCCAAGACCATAAGAGTTCGACTGAAAAATTGCTACGTGGTTTGCTTTAAAAACACCGGGCACAAAGATTCTTGCAGATGCATGGTAACGGCAAAAGAGGGGATCTGAAGAAGAAGAAAGACTTCGGATTGTGGAAATAGCAGCTGCTATAATGGCAGAAGATATACGTGGGCAAGTTCACAACACCACTCGGTGCTTCCCCACTTGATATTTTGGAAGGAGCAAAAAACCTAATTCCAGAGACTGTTATGGCTGTTATTCTACACAAAAAACAGAGTGGCTTTGATAAGGGACTAGGGAATTCTCATGAGAAATAAATATGGCTTATTTTGTTTTTATGGTGCACATTTTTCTGCAAAACATTGAATATTAGGAGTTTTGTATTAAATTTATGGATATTATAGTCATACAGCAATTATTTGTTTTAAATTGAAAAGTTTCGCGCGGAAAAGTTACGTTTAACATAGCCGCTTCCAGTGACGTCAACTGTTCGTAAACTAAGGTTAAGGCTAGTTTACACTCATCGTGAATTCACGGTCCACACTTTCGTGGTTTACTCTTGAGTCGTGGAACGATTGGTCCACGATCAGCTCACCGTCACGCCACGAGTGATATTGAACCACCATAAACGGGTCTATAGAGGGAAGATTGTCAGACTGCGCTTTGTAAATCCTGTATCAACCAGAATGAACTATTTGAAACACAAAATGTCACATTATGGCACTAATACGGAAACACCACATAAAAACCGCATTCAATGCAGTCGAAGGTTCAAGCTAATCGATTTTTTCTGACAGTTTGCAAAGTGTCAGAGGTTCTTGTGAGAACAGACCTTAACGTTGTGTTTACAGACAGTTGACGTCACAAGTTCCACCATCTTGAAGCTAATCGTTTTCGCGCCAACGAAAATAATTTGAAATTTGAAATATTTTTTTTATTTTAATGAGAACATAGAACAAAAAAAAACATATACATTTTATATTTGAAAACATAAGCAATAAGAAAAAAAATACTTTGAAAAATATGATTGTTCCCTATTGCACATTGTCTAATGGCTGCAGTTAGGTTACATTCGTTTTTGTCTTCGCTACAGGTCAGTTTGGCTGTATTTATCAAGAAGTATGGCTCGCGGATTTTAATCGATGTGCTGTTAACATTGGGCTTCTGTGCGCCGTACAATGAAGCAAAGAAATTGGAAATATCAGCCATAATGCAGCCTCCGATAGTGCTAAACAAGCAAGCCCTTTCCCAAATAGTATTCGACAATGCAGACTTTAACGTACAAACGTTAGATGGACGAAACACAGAAGATAGATCGCACGAATTCCTAACGCAGAAGAGGTTGCAAGGGTAGGCCCAGTCAGCTTACAACTTCTTGAACGTTTAAACGATGTAGGATTAACAGCAGTAACTATCAAAAAACTCACTGGAATGTATCCCCATGTCATATACTCCAAGTCAATTATTCCTACAACGCCTCATTTGTTTTGGCTCTTCTGTAAATGTAAGGAGCTCTCTGTGGTTCGTGGGTGGTATGACTGGTATGGTATCTCTCCCATACGAAACAGCACGCGTTTCCTGTCTACCATATTTATTAATATCGCTCCCATCGATTATGACACCATATATACTGCATTGTTGAATGCCACTGTATTTAAAAGCTAGGAAGATTGTGGCAAGTCGAGCTGGTGATCCTGAACTAGCAAGCGTTGTGGTTCGTCTTGGAGGATTTCACCTATTAATGTCTTTCCTAGGTGTTGGAAACAAAATCCAACACCTTTATTCTCATTGAAAGGTGGGAACTTTTAAATATAGTTCCTCAACATACTTGGTATGAGTCGCTGCGATATTAATTTATAGGAGGCACTTTTGAATAAACAATTCTGCCACCTTTTTTACTCTGATGACAATTATTGTCATTCTGCCCATAGAGAAATATAATAAACCAAGGTAAGAGTTATCGTCGTTATCGATTCATATGCGCGAAGTGGCAACGTATTTCTAGTTGTTTCTTGTAGCACATGGTGTCGCTAGCATAGCTTGGAACTATCTGACAATTCTGACATCACCTTCCATTCTCATATCTATTTCTTTTTAACAGATGTGATAATAAAGGAAAAGAGGACAAAGGATGTTTTAATTATTGTACAATGACATGTTCAAAACTGACAAAAAAATTTTGGACACAAATTAGTCAACCTAAATCTCAATTTATCAGTTGATTTAAAAATGCATGATTCTGGTAAGATTTACGAGATATACAATGTGAAAATGGCTCAGTTTATACATAAGTAATGATAATTATTAAATAGTAACCTATTATTAGTAGAAAGTGAGATGTTTTGGCTGTTTTTGCTTTTTTTTGTTGTTATCTTGCGGTATAAGTATAATTTAATTTTTATTATTTCTTTATTTACGTTGTTTATGTATATTTATTTTATTTGTATACGTGTTCTTTGTTAATTTCGAAAGATGAAAATATATGAGCCAATTTTAAGCGATTAACCGTATTTATTTTTGTTTCCAGGCCAGCGTTTTTTCGCAATTTTTTTTCTGTCGACCGCGGAAAAACGCTGGGTTAAATTTCTACCTTCAGAAATAACAAAACTATAATTTAAAAGTTCAAAAAGCCCACCAAATGTTATTTAAGTTGGTCTTGTAGTGTACGGTGGCGCTAGTATCGATCTGACGTCATCGCGTTGCCAGTGTCGTACCACAGAATCGGTAACTCTCACCTTGGTTTATTATATTTCTCTATGATTCTGCCTATGCATTCTGCCATAAAAAATTATAAGCGGTGATTTTTTCTATATGCAGTAAAAAATGTTTTATCTGCAAATCAATTAAGTTGATTAATTAAAAAGTATTGTATTTGAATTCCACTGTCCTTAGTTGTAATTTGTTCGATGAATTAAAAGTAATAGTATATTACAATCCGAGACGGAAAATACTTCATTGCTGGTCGAGAGGTTATTATAGTTTATCGAGACGCGAAGCGTCGAGATAAACTCAACCTCGAGACAGAAATGAAGTTTTCCGTCGAGGTTTGTATACTTTTTTATTTTCAACCCTTAATTTTCTGATGCAAAAACTAAAGATTCTGTTATACGAAATTTTCATATAGTGTAAAACTGGCCTTAGAAAAAAATATTTCACTTTTTTTGTCAATGTCATCAATTTTGACGATCTCAAAGGCCCTGTAAAGGCCAAAACAAAAGACGAAACCACAGGAAACCGCAAAATCAACAACCATAGATAAGATCAACAACGCCTTAACGACGGTAGTTTTCGCTCAGTATTTTTGCGGAAATAATAGATTTTCACTAGATTTCTCCCCGTTCTCCCCAAAGAAATGATTTCGGAAA